TAGTAGCATCAATAAAATCACCCCATCAATTACAAAAATGCCAAAAAAAAGAGGTGATTCTAACTAGATTAAAACATTATATTTCTACAACATGTCTTTTTTTCGTTGCTTGCTTTTTCGTCTCCCACCCTAGAAAAAAAAGGACATGTTTGAATTTGTATCACCAACTCCTCTTGTTTTTCTTCGCATGTTTTTTCGTCTTTCACCCTAGACAAAAAAGACATGTTTGAATTTGTAATAATCAAGAAAAATAAGTATCGATTTATATTTGAATTCGTATCACCATAAATGCAAAAATCAAGAAAAATAATTACCGAACATATTTTTTTGTAAAAGTATCTTCATGGAGTTCGTTAGAGCTTCTTAACCGCCATCCAACGAAAGAACCAACAATGATACCAATAGTAAAATACAAAAACTCCTGATCCATTGGTAATGACCTAGATAACATATAGTGAAGAGAAAACCTGAGCAGAGCAAGAAGAAACTTCTTCTCTCTTTATGTGTTCTTCCGAAACCTGAGCAGAGCAAAGAAAATATGAGTTACATAGTGCAAACTAATTTTAAGAAATAGAAAACTAATTTTATTCACTTTCCATAAGAAATAGAAAACTAATTTTATTCACTTTCTAAATGGATATATCTCTTTGTCAAAATTAAATTTGTTGGGCTTTTCTTATGAGTTTACATTTTTTTTTAATTTAATTAACTAGGGCAAAATAAAATAAAATATTATATTAAATATAAATACTAATTTTTATTTTAAATTTGAGGAAGAAAAAATAGGTATAGTGAAGAGCAAACCTGAGCAGAGCAAGAAGAAATTTAATCAATTCAAATATGAAACCCAAACCTAACTTATATATATATATATATATATATATATATATATATATATATATATATATATGTATATATAATGTAAACAATTCAAATATGAAACCCAAACCTAACTTATATATATATATATGTATATATAATGTAAATAATTCAAATATGAAACCCAAACCTAATCAGCATCAACGCAGTAACTGGATTTGATTTGACGAAAACTAACAACATTATCGGACTGTTACGCTTCCATTCCCCTCGAGTTAGATGCAGTGAAACATCATCTGACCCATTCCCCTCGAATTAAGCTAATATCACGGCAACGGTAAAAAAAAAGGAAAAGAAACGGCAGCTTCATGGTTTTCGAAAAAAAGAGGATTTGGAGAGCGAATTAGGGTTTCAGAAAGAAGAGATTGAAGTGTGTAGGATATTTTCCATTTTATACTGCTTTTTTTTTTCCGAGGAAATTTTTTATTATTATACTGCTTTTTTTTTTTCCGAGGAAATTTTTTATTATTATACTGCTTGCACGGCTTATAACATTTTCCTTTCATTTTCCTATATGCGGATATAACATTCACGGCGTATATTATAAAATTGGGTTAACAGCAGTTTGCCCCCTAAACTTAGGTCGTTTTTGCACTTGGCCCCCCAAACAAAAAAAATTGGGACGTTTTCACCTAAACTCATTAATACATTGCACGGTGGCCCCCGAACAATATTTTCCGGCAATTTAGGCCGGAATCTTTCGGTTTAATTAAGTTGTACTATCAAAAACATTTACGTGTACGAGAAGCCGTATTGACAAGTACTATATATAAATATGACCAATACCAACAATAGGAGGGACGTAATAAGGGAGACAACTTAGAATAAGTAATTCAAATATGACGTATAATTTTCTCAATAATGAGTGATACCATTAATTTTCACTTTCATTTTTGCAAAAAAGAAAAAAATAATAATAAAAAAAAAGTAAAAAAAAAACGGTTTTTTCCCAACTTAAATACTAAAGAATAAAGAATCCAAAAAGGAAAAAAAAAAGATAAATTCATCTTACTATAATTTTACCTAATTTAAATACTCACAAACCTACACGACATTGTCTAATTGTCAATAAATATCAAATCTAGTAAATATTTTAGTACGCATTGCTTGGTATATATATGATTTTATAATAATATGATTTGAATACATAGTGCAAACTTTTTCTTAAAAACATAAATGATCGATGGTGCATCAAATAATGTATATCGGCATCAATCCTTGTCGGGCCAAGGGATGGGGGCCCTTGGGGCGAGGGATTCGCCTTTGGTGCAAATAATGTATAGCGGTGGTCAGTGATTTTGACATATTTGTTTTAAAGTTTCCAACGTACCACATCTCGCACACATTTGTACCATCAGTAACATTTACGTGTCCGAGAAGCCGTATTGACAAGTACTATATATAAATATGAACAATACCAACAATAGGAGGGACGTAATAAGGGAGACAACTTAGAAGGTGGTCAGTGATTTTGACATATTTGTTTTAAAGTTTCCAAAGTACCACATCTCGCACACAGTTGTACTATCACTAACATTTACGTGTACTAGAAGTCGTATTGACAAGTACTATAATGAGTGATACCATTAATTTTCACTTTCATTTTTGCAAAAAAGAAAAAAATAATAATAAAAAAGAAAGAAAAAAAATGGTTTTTTCCCAACTTAAATACTAAAAAATAAAGAATCCAAAAAGGAAAAAAATATAAATTCATCTTACTATAATTTTACCTAATTTAAATACTCACAAACCTAAACGACATTGTCTAATTGTCAATAAATATCAAATCTAGTAAATATTTTAGTACGCATTACTTGGTATATATATGATTTTATAATAATATGATTTGAATACATAGTGCAAACTTTTTCTTAAAAACATAAATGATCGATGGTGTGTCTAATTGTCAATAAATATCAAATCTAGTAAATATTTTAGTACGCATTACTTGGTATATATATGATTTTATAACAATATGATTTGAATACATAGTGCAAACTTTTTCTTAAAATCATAAATGATCGATGGTGTATCAAATAATGTATACCGGCATCAATCCTTGTCGGGCCAAGGGATGGGGGCCCTTCGGGCGAGGGATTCGCCTTTGGTGCAAATAATGTATAGCGGTGGTCAGTGATTTTGACATATTTAATTTGTTTTAAAGTTTCCAAAGTACCACATCTCCTACACAGTTGTACTTTCAGTAACATTTACGTGTACTAGATGTCGTATTGACAAGTACTATATATAAATATGAACAATACCAACAATAGGAGGGACGTAATAAGGAAGACAACTTAGAATAAGTAATTCAAATATGACGTATAATTTTCTCAATAATGAGTGATACCATTAATTTTCACTTTCATTTTAATAAAAAAAAAGAAAAAAAATGGTTTTTTACCAACTTAAATACTAAAGAATAAAGAATCCAAAAAGGAAAAAAAGATAAATACATCTTACTATAATTTTACCTAATTTAAATACTCACAAACCTAAACGACATTGTCTAATTGTCAATAAATATCAAATCTATTAAATATTTTAGTATGCATTACTTGGTATATATATGATTTTATAATAATATGATTTGAGTACATGAATCGAATCGTAAATCTTTTAATATTTAGGAATTTTATTTGAAGTTCATAAATATTTATTTTTATAATATTTTATAGTACATGATAAAAAAAACCAAAACAAAACTAATATATGCACGGAGTAAAATAAAATTAGTTCAGCAGGTGGGACCCTGCTGAACTTCTTCACTGGCCTGAGTCGAGCACCAACAAAATTCAACCAAAACTTGGCTTCCCGGGACAGTTCGTAGCCGAGGATGGCTGAATTGTCGTCTGGGGATTATTTTTTTTTTTAATTTTTATTTTTTTTTGTAATTACATAGAACATATTGACGAAGGGGTATATATAATGTGTCAAGAGAGTTTTTGATTTGGATAATTGATAGTTTCTGGGCTTTATTATGCTCCTTTATTGATTAATATTGTTTGGATTACATACCTATTATACTCGGAAGGAAAAAATGAGGAATCGTACATTCGAATACCTTCAACATATACACCATAAACCTCACATTGCGAATAAAATTCCCATGACACAGAATATGTGAGGAACCTAAATAGAGCCAATCGTCTGCAAAGTTCTATATACTTATTAATACTAGTTATTTGGAGAAATCAATACATAAAACATAAGATCAGGGCTGTGAAAATTAAACGTTTCATCAAAATCAGTTTCTTTTTCAACAATAGAACCTGGGTTGCTAATTTCTCCAAATCTTTTTCACATGCATTAAGCCTTGTCAACATGGCAGACATAACCTCAGATGAGCGTTCGCAATTCAACTCGTCACACCATTTGAAGAATTTACAACGATTTCCCTAAAAAAAGGGATTTAGATAAAATCAAACTATTGAAGGAACAATAAAGATGAGAAGCAACTAAAATAACCTACCTCATTCATTGAACAGCAAAAAAAACGTCTTCCTGGGTTTTTTTCGGTCCGCGAGGTTCTAATTGTCGCGTCAATTCCACAATAACAATGGAAATTTAACCCCTCATATGACGGCATAGATGAGCCGCCTTCAGTGGATGTACAAGTTGCCCTATTGCGTCGTGTGCTTGAACTAGAACTCATTATATATGATTATTACGAAAACACTAGCAAAATAGTAGAAATAGTTAGAAGAGTAAACGCACAGCGATTTCTGTCTATTTACCACAATTGGACAGAAATTTGACTTCCACAATCACCATGATACCCGTGCTTAATTAAGACAATAACCGGAAATAAACTCGAAGAACAAGTTAATTCGGATCAAAATTGAAAAATCCCCAAACACTGAAATTAGGGTTCTTACCTGATTATTACGAAAACACTAGCAAAATAGTAGAAATAGTTAGAAGAGTAAACGCACAGCGATTTCTGTCTATTTACCACAATTGGACAGAAATTTGACTTCCACAATCACCATGATACCCGTGCTTAATTAAGACAATAACCGGAAATCCACTCGAAGAACAAGTTAATTCGGATCAAAATTGAAAAATCCCCAAAAACTGAAATTAGGGTTCTTACCAATAGTGCAATCATACAAACAAAAATGGCTAAGTCACCACATCATCAAATGTTTCTTAAATAAAAAGATTACCCAAGAACTTGACCCCAAAATAAAAGATAACAGTGCTAGGGACAATTCCTAAAAATGAGTTCTTGTTCAAATTCAAGCAAGAGATTGGAGTTAATTCGAACTAAAAATCAAATTTCTGAAATCCACGCCGAAGAACAAGTCAATTCGGATCAAAATTGAAAAATCCCCAAAAACCGAAATTAGGGTTCTTACCTTGGGTGTAGGCCTGGAGAATCGGGAGGCGCAAGTGGTGGTGGTCGTCGGAGAATTGGGAGGCGCTACTGCTGGTGGTGGTCGTCGGAGAGCCGAGATGCGCTAGTGGTGGTGGTCGTCGGAGAACCGGGAGGCAGTGGTGGTGGTGGTCTCGGAGAAGGCGCTGAATCGGGAGGCGCAAGTGGTGGTGGTCGTCGGAGAATTGGGAGGCGCTACTGCTGGTGGTGGTCGTCGGAGAGCCGAGATGCGCTAGTGGTGGTGGTCGTCGGAGAACCGGGAGGCAGTGGTGGTGGTGGTGGTATCGGAGAAGGCGCTGAATCGGGAGGCGCAAGTGGTGGTGGTCGTCGGAGAATTGGGAGGCGCTACTGCTGGTGGTGGTTGTCGGAGAGCCGAGATGCGCTAGTGGTGGTGGTCGTCGGAGAACCGGGAGGCAGTGGTGGTGGTGGTCTCGGAGAAGGCGCTGGAAATTGGGGTGTAGCGGAATTTAAGTGAAACTGAAATTTACAGTAATACCTGAACCCACAAGCCTGAATTTTCTCGAGAAATAAACAGAGATGGAGATGATGCGGCAGTGACGAGAGAAGAAAATGCAGACAGAAGAGAGAGAAGAAAAAAAGAGCATAAAAAAAATATAAAAAATATGTGTGCTGAATAATAATAAATGTAAGTGGCTAAAATCGAAAAGAAATTTTTTTTCAAATTAGCGTAGTGAATATCAAGATAAATATAATTATTAATGTTAATATAATTATTTGCAGATATTAATTTTTTCTTCAGCCCATTAAATTTCACTGGCCCAATTATTCTATAATTCTGAAGAAAAGACCAACCCATATCACTTGTGATCCAGTCCATTAAAAATTTAATTTAATTAAAGTGGGGAGATAAATGAAAGTTAAAATTAAGTGTAGGGATTTTAAAATAAATTTTTCTTCAGCCCATTAAATTTCACTGGCCCAATTATTCTATAATTCTGAAGAAGAGACCAACCCATATCACTTGTGATCCAGTCCATTAAATATTTAATCTAATTAAAGTGGGGAGATAAATGAAAGTTAAAATTAAGTGTAGGGATTTTAAAATAAAGAAAACCCTAAGTTGGGAAAAAATCATTATTAATTCATAATAAATATTTATATGTTAGTAATATATTAAATATTTAATTTAATAAAAGTGGGGAGATAAATGAAAGTTAAAATTAAGTGTAGGGATTTTAAAATAAAAAAAACCCACAAAAATATGATGCAAGACAAATAAATAATATTTATAATATGATATGTTGAGCTCATTAGATTTTGTGAGTATTTAAATTAGGTAAAATTATAGTATAGATTGTGTAAAGATGAATAAAATTTACAGTAATACCTGATATTGTTGATCAAAGAATCTATAGTTTACATATAGCAGGGAAGACTTCGAGACGAAGAAAAAGGAGCTGTATGCAATTATTAATAATAATTTTATTATTATTATTAATATTGATATTCCAAGGAAAAAACCAAAACAATAATTTTGAAAGTGCTTTCTCAAACAGTGAAAAAACAAAAGAACTCGTCATATTGAAGAGAGAGAGTAGAGAGAGAAGATGGAAAGAGTTCGGCGTCTTCTTGGATTCTGAGCCTGATTCTTTCTCTCTCTCTCTCTATACATATGTGTATATACATATTAAATATCTTTTATTTTACTACTTCGTTGTTATTTTTACTGTTCGTCTTATTATTATTATTATTATAAGTCTCCAGTCATATTTCATCGAATTATGATCATCACGATACGGAATATAAGATATTATCCCACTAATTTTAAAAATATTGTTTGTTGCACCCATTCATTTCTTCCCATTTTCCTTTAATAATAAACTCAGCCCTAACATTCTCGGATAATTACATTTCCACCCGTGAATATTCTCAAACCCTAGCGCCGCCGGGTGAAAATCAGCGCCACCAGGTGACACAATCTTCCCGAAAACGTTGTCAATACGTGGGAAGAAAAGAGGTGGCACAAGGAGGGAGCTTTAACTAGGTTTGGTGTATTTATGGGGAAAATTGCAATTCAGTCCCCTAATTGAATGGAGAAGAGGGCTTCTTTGAAAATTAAGGGAACTGAATTGAAAATATTAAAAACGAAGAACAAATATATAACAATTGGAAGTTCTGGGGTGGATTTGCAATTTTTCACAGGGGTTATTTGAGAATTATAGATTACATAGTGGTGAATTTTATAATTAAACCGAAATGCGGAGTGGGTTGGGCTCTGCAGCACTGGAGCACAAGTGCTATGGGTTGGTCTCTTCTTCAGAATTATAGAATAATTGGGCCAGTGAAATTTAATGGGCTGAAGAAAAAATTAATATCTGCAAATAATTATATTAACATTAATAATTATATTTATCTTGATATTCACTACGCTAATTTGAAAAAAAATTCTTTTCGATTTTAGCCACTTTTATGAATTAATAATGATTTTTTCCCAAGTATTTAAGAATAATGATTTAATTAATCACACTTAAACTCACTGTAATTGGCGCTCAATTCCCGACCTTTCTTCTTCGTCTCCCCCAATTATTTTCTCCTTTCTTCTTCGTCTCCCCTTCGTCTCCCCCAGTTATTTTCTCCTTTCTTCTTCGTCTCCCCTTCGTCTCCCCCAATTACCCAGATAACCCGAAACCCCAGAGTATTTTCAATCCCAGTTGTTCAGATATTAGGTTCCTTTCTTCGACTCACAAGCAAAACGAAAAAAAATCCAAAATACAATCTGCAATCTGCAACCTTTCGACTCACAAGCAAAGATATCAGGTTTCTCAGGTTAGTTTCGTTGTTTATGTTTTGGTTTTAAGGTTGGATTTCTAAAAAATAAAAATCCAATTTGAACCCTAATATTTGAGTCTAATTGTTTTCCAATTTGATATCAGATTTCTCAGGTTATTATTTTTTAATAATGTTAGATTTTTATTGTTTTAATTAACTTGTAAACATTATTTAGATATTTCATGTTTAATGTATGTGTAATGTCTGTTTATGTTCGAGTTCGAGTTCCGATTCATTCCTGATATCACACTGTTTTTTAACTAATCCTCTTAATCCATGATTTGGTTAATAATCACATGTAATGTCTGTTTATGTTCGAGTTCGAGTTCCGGTTCATTCCTGATATCACACTGTTTTGTAACTAATCCTCTTAATAACTAATCCTCTTAATCCATGATTTGGTTAATAATCACATGTATAACTCAACTTTGATGTGCTTGACTTTGATGTGCTTGACTTTGTAATATATGGCATACAGGATTAGACGAGAGGGTTGATATGGCATACAGGATTAGACGAGAGGGTTGACTTTACGTAAGTGGTGTTTATAGATAATGCTCGTTAAGTTGCTTCGATATTTCTATGGAAGTTGTGTCAGAATGCTCGTGAAATATCACACTGTTTTTTAACTAATCCTCTTAATCCATGATTTGGTTAATAATCACATGTATAACTCAACTTTGATGTGCTTGACTTTGATGTGCTTGACTTTGTAATATATGGCATACAAGATTAGACGAGAGGGTTGACTTTACGTAAGTGGTGTTTATAGATAATGCTCGTCAAGTTGTGTCAGAATGCTCGTGAATACAAGTTTTCCACATATATACATACATTTTGTTTGCATGTATGAATTTTGGTAATTGAAATTAGTAGTTTGTGTTCTGTCCTGTTTTATGTTAATTTTAGATTAGTTTATTGTTGTATGCAGTTTGGTATTTGAAACAGGGAAATTAGTACTGTGCAATTTTGTTCTTAGTACTTTGTGATCTGTCTTGTTTTGCAGAAATGGCCTATAATGAGAAGTGTGCGCATTATTCCCGTTGTTCGCCCTCGAGCTTCAAGGATACGATTGATAAAGTAAAATTGAAGATGGGGACTGCACAATTGAAGGCTATCAAAAGCACTCCATTTGGAATTTTTCTGGATATGCCAAACCTTAGTCACAGTTTGACTAAGGTGTTAGCCCTGATGAGATGTTTTAAGCCTAATACAATGTCGTTTAGTTTTGGGGAAGCAATTCATGTACCTTTTGAAGCCTCGGAGTTTTCTATGGTGATGGGGTTGCGGTATATGGGGCAACCTATTGACTTACAATTGAAGCTGAAGTCTTCAATTTTTGACGAACTATTTTGCGGAAAAAAAGAAAAAACTTTTAGAAATGAATTAGCTGACCTATTAATAGATTTAGCTTGTAAGGATGATTGTATAGATGATTTTTGTAGAACATACATTCTTTTCGTTTGTAACTGTATATTATTTCCTCAAGGAAACTATTCGACTCCGTCGTTTATCTTTCCGTATTTAGAGGATTTGTCAGATTTAGGTTCTTATGCGTGGGGAAAAGCGGTGTCCGATTACTTGATCGGTGAAATGAGGGTAAATGTAACTGGAAAGAAGACGTACGTCAATGGTTGCACGATCGGATTACTAGTAAGTAATATAGGTTTTAATATCAATTTTTTTTTGTATTTTGATTCTTAATTTCCATAACATACGCATTTTTATAAAATTGGCAGGCTTGGTTTTATGAAAGGGTCCCCTCTATCGGGTCCCCGACAAGCTTGAGCCGATTCCCTCGATTTTTCCGGTGGGACAGCAGCAAGACAGGCCGAGAGGAGTCGAAGTTTCAAAAAGCACTAAGTGAACTTACAGCTGAAAAGGTACCACTAGTTTATTTTCTCTATTTAATGCAAAATTGTGAAGCACATTGATAACAATTTGTGATAATTATTTGTTTACTTAGGTTGTTTTGTTTATTTTAAAATCCGAAGAGAGCAAGTTGATCAATCTTCCAGCCACTTGTTTGGATGATTGCACAAAGAGTGGATTTAACGGAGCAGAAGTTCTTCTCGAAGCGAGAGATAATGAAATAATAATTTTGAAGAAGCAAATTGAGGAGCTTCGTCAAGCTAGAGATCAAGAACTTGCTGTTGCAAATAAATCTAGGGATTTTGAAGAGCAAAATGACTATTTTGTCGATGAAGAGTGCAATGCGCTGATCCCATCTATAAGATTTCAAAACTTCCGGTCTTAGAGTTTTATTTCCCGATTTAATTTTTACTAAATGCATATTAATTGTCGTGTTTTATTTTACATAAAGGAATTTGGTGATAAAGAAGATGACGAGCATGAAGAAGAGAGGGGGGTGGAAGAATGCGGAGAAGATGAGAATGAAGAAGAAGAAAAGAAGAGGAACCACATGCTCCTAGTCGGTATCCAAAACGAAATCGTAGACCGACGAGGATGGATGACTTTTCATATTCAGCTACACCAAGAGACCAAGCTGTTAAAGGTGAATTTGTGTGTTCTATTTGTATTTTAAAGTACTTATACTTGAAGCAGATAACATTTACGGATTATATTTTTGTATATTTTTTTCATGCACTAATATTTTTCTTAAACTTGTGTGTACGACAAAGATCCCGAGAATCAGGTGGAGGAAGAGAGAAGATATAAACAACG